GGAAAGTTTGTCTGCTTACGGCCGCTGACAGAGGAGGCGTTTTTATGGGAAAACGCCTCGGGTATACGCCGTGCACCTATCTGTGGGCAGAATTCGCACTCGCATTTGAAAGTCTTCTGTTTTCCTGAAGAAGGTGTTAGTATCCTGATTGAGTTGCATTGTGCTGTTATATGGCACTCTTGTTTCACTTTCCCATGAACTGCTCTACACTTTGTTCTCCTCGGGATTTCAGGAATGTTCGATCATCGAAGACAGACCATGTTTTTGCACTACACTGTAACAAAGTTTTTGGCTATTGTCTATTGTACTCTTGATCTATGCTGTCGAGCAAAAGCGCCGTCCGGATAGCGTCGATTAAGGATAATAAGCTGATGGTGAGACTTATAGTGCTCTGCATGCTTTAATGCTCCCATGGAGCTCATGTCTGTGTGACTCTCCGACAGCGTGCAGAGCTCCTGGAGAACATTAGAGGCTGAAAGTGCACTCCCGGACACTGCACTTTTCAAGCCGTCTTGCAGCCCGTCTGTGGATACGACCCCCTCCCTTTTCGGTCGGCTGAATACGACCCCCTCGTTGTTCTTTGCGCAACGCAGGGTTGACCCTGGTTGGGAGGCGGTACGGCTGTGGTGACGTCATTGAACGTCAATGGTGGACTAGGCGCTCAGCGAGCTAAGTTGCGGTAGGGAATACCTATTGATGATCTTCCATCAATGACGTTCATGAAGTCATAGGAACCGCAACACCCTCCGGCTCCACCAACCGCCACTTTCGTTCAAGATAAAGCCGACAGCTTACTCAAGCTTTCAAGCCCCAAGGTAATGTTTAGTAACAGAACATACCTGACGATCAGCAAGTTGTTAACGGTTTTATAGTCGCTCATGTCCAGTAATCGATAAAATACGACTAATAGATGCATAATGAATATTAATGCCACAGGAATTTCAATTAGCAAAAATATCGCAATCACGACGAGTAGCATTCGTGTCGTCGCATGCATTAAACGATTAGACGATAGGCAACCAGAACCAGTGCCTTGCTGGAATATTTGTTTACTTATGCATACATGTTTATTCGTCTAATTATTGCACGAAAATGATACCATTATATAGACCATGGACAACATACTCCTTTGGAGGTAGTTCTTACGATGAATTAATTAGTCGCTCGTTCAAAATAAACGCAAAGGAAGTGGAAATGCAGCAGTGGAGAAACTAGTGGTAAGGCATACGGTCTGATAAGACCTACCAAGGGAAACCCTTCTTTCCCCGTTGAATTCCGCGCTGGACGAGGCCGAAAGATGTCGAAGCCAACAATTTGGGTGCTACTACTCCATCGCCTCTCTACTAATACCCTGCATCTGTTCTTAAAGAGCTGAAGTTCGATAGCCTGGCACGAGGAGATGGCGCATCAAATTGAAGGGTGAGCAGGGGCACAAAGGCGTTTAGAGGGATAGTGAAACGCTTGCTAGGCCGGTAGCCATGCCTCTATCCATTCAGAGCCCATGCTCCTTTCGTAGAATGCATATAAACTTTCTTTAAAAAGCATACTCATCTGCCGATAGTGACTGGTTCCAGCTATTGTAACCAAGACCACAAGAGAAATTCAGAGACCCTCACCCCTGTTGCACTTTCCACGTTTAAAGGCACGGTCCAGGATTAGGCAGGCTCACCTGTCCCATCCCCGGAGGTGGCAGACAGGCGGACAAGCATGATGTCGCGCCCCTTTTGCGGCTTGAAAGTGCGCGACAAAGGCGCTAGAAGCTCGCTGGACCCGCAATGCACACCTTCGGCCTCAAAACCCGCCTTCTATTATCGTCTTCCATGCCGGTGCTGCGAGAAGAGCGCCGCCGCAGTTGCGGTAGCATTAGTATTGCAGCTAATTTTTGCGGGCACTCAGGGTCAGTCCTATCGTTGGTACTTTCTAAAAAATTTTACGACCCCCTTTTCGACACCTCGACCACCATATTCCTCTCTATAGTATTTAATTCTGGTACCACTCAACCCACCAAACTCCGCCCACTTTTTCCTCCAAAAATGCCGTCGAGCGGGGGGTATATACCCACTCTGAAACAGTAAAAATTACCAAAATTCCCTAAATTTCAACCAATTTACCCCACTTCTACCTATAATCCCACTGCTTCTTTTTTCTTTTTAAGGAGGGGGGGGGGGTATATAACTGACACAAACTGAAGCGGATACGACCCCCCCCTCAACAATGAAGCGGATACGACCCCCCTCCAAGCTAAACTAAGTACGACCCCCCTTGGTACTTGTACCAACGTAGGGTTGACCCTGCTTCCAGGCGAAACTTGATCAAATTCATGACACTCCGAACACGCCTTGGCGCGTGGCCGCTCTCATCCATCAACATACATAATTTTCCAATTAATTTCTTGTACATTTATTTAACCTATTGTGAAATGGTTTTTGCCCAGACCTGTATTATTGGTTTTTATATCTGTAACAGTAGCTATAAATAAATAAATAAATAAATAAATAAATAAATAAATAAATAAATAAATAAAACAGGTGAAATGCGAGTGAAATAGAGGAGATCCTTGTTTGGAAGTGTATTTCGTTTGCCTTCTTCTTATATTCAGAATACTGCCCACCTGCTATTATTAGACGTTCTTGCTGACAGATTTTATCCCGAGGCTTGCCATTCAATGCTTTACAAGTCCACCAACAACAAAAGATGAAGCTACGAAACCCGCGCAACTTGGAAACAAAGTGGTTCGTCCAGTATGGCGTAAAACAAACCACTTATTGCTCAATTTGACTATGTGGTATATAGAGGGTGGAGGACAAAAAGTCGTCAAGCCCATAGCGTACATCAGCAAATTTTCCGTCGCGCAGGTGCCGTCTTTGGTGAAAGTTTAACGGCAAAATATTCCTTGGATGTCTCTCCATAGGCGCAGACCCCCTTCACTGCCCTACCGTCTCCAGAATATGACGTCATCTGCCAATATATGAGGCACACCGCAATCGCTTCACCCTGTAGCTGCTACATAATTTCTTCAGTCGGTCAACTCATCGATAATTTCTTAGAGACAGTAGCTACGACCATGCAAGCTCTCCCCAACCAGCTCCATTGCAAAAAAAAAACGTCGTGATGGACCACGATTCAACGAGGAAATTGATGAGCTGAGCAGCATGAGCTCGACCCATGGCAAACACTTTGACGTCATCGCTATAAAAGGCTATAATGGTTTCTGAGGGATTGGAATGTGCTCTTCAGTTTCCAGTTGGGAGCATTTGGTCCAAATTAAGTAAAGAGTAATGAATTCCGTTGAATGTGGAGGCAGAATGACTTTTTTGGCCTCCATGTATATTCATTGTTAATTTTGTCATGATGGAGGTGTAAGAGGAGGAAATTGAAAGTGATGAACTGCGCTGTTTTCTCCAATTTACACAGCCATCAATTTGAAAGGTTTCGTGAAAATATCGTAATAAGGATAGGGTAGAACAAAAGTACAGCGCTTGTAAATATAATGGTAACAAGCGCGCCGCTCGCAAATTCTGACGGAAACAGCGAAAAGTTTTTGGTATAGGTGTTATGTATTTTTTGGTTTAGAGACCCTTGAAGATTCAATGAACATTCGAGCCGGAAGAGGTGGGGCACACAAGGAAAACACCACTTAGAAAACGTCTCAGCAGAAAGTTTTTTTTATAGTGAAGCGTTTATTGTGCCGACGTTTCGACTGAATTATGAATTATCTGGACATGCCAAGGTTTCAGGAAAGGTGAACGTGGACGTCTCAGCAGAATTTGCAGGGGTGGCAGCCTAGCACACCGACTTGAACCCGATGCATTATTCTGTGTGGAATGTTTTGGAGATCGGATACTGCTAAAATCATTATTGTAAAGTCGATAAGCTGAGAAGTCAACTCGAAAAGTCAGGGACGACCAAGACATCAGGCGGCACGGGCAGTGGGTTTTCCATAGATTTTGATGCTATATCAACGCAATCGGCGAGCATTTCAACGAGCTCCTTTTGTCTTAATTGATACTCAAAAGAAATTATTCCGTTGTCTATTTCTGCTCCTACGCTATAGTGGTTTTCCGTGACTTTTTCATGTTGTTACCACAATTTTGCCCACCCTGTAAGTTAGGAGGAATCCAACAAAACTGATTATGCAACTCTTTCCCTTTGACCCAAGCATGCCATCAAAAAGGTCACCCCAGCCTCTTCACAAACTGTTCAGGTCCCTCGCCCAGCTAGGTAAGCAAGCACAATTATGAGATCAGAGGAATTTCCTTGCGATCTCAAGAGCGGATTTCGTGATGGAAGGACATCGTTGGAATCAAGTTAGCTTGTGATCTCAAGAGCGGATTTCGTGATGGAAGGACATCGTTGGAATTAAGTTAGAGATGGTAACTAATGCATGAAAGAAAAAAAAAACCAAGAAAAACGGCCTAGAACTCAAGAAATGTGACCACTTCCCTGCCCCTTGATTGCCGTATTCATGCAACTATCATCGGTCCCTCTTCAATGCTCTCTATGCTAAACAGCCATAGACTCGGAAAGCGAAGGGGGAGGGGCGTACCGCGCCAATGGCGCCGCGGGGAAGGCCATGCTAGATCGCCGAAGACATATCCTTCGATGCGAAATGCGTGTCGGTCCGCACCCTTAAGGTCCGCCTGTCTTTTTACTAAGTAAGTTTCTCTTTTTACTAACTTCGTCCTTATCGTGAAGTCCTCCTTTGCAAAAAAACCCCTTTTCACCTTTATTCTCCACCGTCATCTTCTGACGTAATTTATACGTATTATTTCGCTCAAAAAGCCCAATTATTCCATTGGGAACACCTTCGCACTACATATTTAGGTGCACTCAGTATCTCAAGTTCACTCATATATTTAATCAAACCACCAACGTATTTAAGTGCCAACAATCTGTTCATCAGGAAACAAGACTCGTTCAACCCCTTCCTGAATCCTATTCGGTCCTAATGTGAGCTGTGATGACGTAGCAACGAGACTAGTTCGAGGACCGAAAACCGAAAGTTCTCGACCGCGACCAATGACGAAGCCAATCACGAGCGAAACGAAGACTTCTGGGAAGCATAGACAACACCAAGCTATTCAGACACATTGTGACCAAATAAACATTTCGGGTTGAGAATGTCAGCTGGGCCAAATACCTCTTTCCCGAACACTTGCTAACCCTTTGCAATTTTCAAAGTTATGCCTGCCAAAGATTGTTCTGGATGAGTAAGGCCGATGAAAGCTTATAATGAAAGGTTTAGAGAGATATATTAATGAAAAGGATGTGTGATGAAGAAAATTTGAAGTTGAGCTGAAAAGATTTTTGAGCATTGACATTGAGTTTATTGGAGTTTAGGAGAGCAGTAGATTAGAGCACTTGAGATCAGAAGATTAGGAAGTAAATCATGTAACGGTTAGGAAAGTTCAAATAATGGTCTGCTTACATTCATTCCCTCTTAACACTATCTACCTAGGTCATCAGCTTATTCTAGACCTAGACATTCTATGTTTACTTTTGATCGCTTAGCATTATGTTTCCAGATGTCGGACGGTTCGAAGACGATCGAGGGGCGGAGCGAGGACGAGAGGACAACGAGGATTCTGCCGACAAGACCGTACCGCGACCGGTCAGAAGACCGGGAATATCTCCATGTTCCAGCTTGCTTACTCTCTTTGTGATCTCTGAATGTCTATACCCATGTTTCGCATTGCCTTATGTCTGTTCGTTATTATGTCTGCACATGAAGCTAATTATTATTTAATGTCTTGGATTGGTATGATGTGGTTTAGCGCTCGAGGCCTTTGATATGTTAGAAGGGGAGGATGCTAAGAGGACATCCGAACCTTTACTATCATAAGGTTGTGAAGTCGACGAGCTGAAGAAGTCAACTCGAAAAGTCAGGAACCTCGACATCGCTTATCTACGCGGCATAGGTTTTCCATAAATTTCGATCCTGTGTCAAGGCAAAGGGTGAGCATTTCCATTAGCTAAATTCTTTCGTTTTATGTTTCCTTTTTTTCGAAAAAAAAATCGTTGCCTACTTGTCCCAACAATCCCAATTGCTTTGCTTAATTGTATGTGGTGTTGTTACATACTTATTTAAAATTCAGTTGACCTGAAGAAGGCTTTATGCCCGAAAGTCAATAAACAACACAGAAAGAGAAAGAGAAGCTTCTCATTCCAATCTATCGCTATAAGGGGGTTCAGTTGAGAATTTAAGGTTCGCATGGAGTGATGTGATTGGAGACTCCTAGATATCCTAGATATGCTATTATCCTGATGAATATGCATCTACGTTTTAGCGGAATCTCCTAATCTCCTCATTCTTTATCTCTCAATGGCCGACCCTACGAAGGACCTTGTCCATTGGAGCTGAAAACAGAGGTGTTCGAGTAAGCCTTCCTCAAGGAAAACATGAGAGAAAATGACTTAAAACACGCATAATGGGACCCTTCCAACCGTTTGATTTCCGGTCTGGACGAGTCAGTGACCGAGCCGAATTCCTTTGCACGCGTTAACCCTGATTGCCAGTAACATGCCAACAAAAATCATCCTTCCATTGATAATGGTTACCCAGAAGAACTAGAACTGAAAGATCTGGAAGCAGGGTCAACCCTACGTTGGTACAAGTACCAAGGGGGGGGGGGTCGTAGTTTGTTGAAGTTTGTGGTGGGGGGTCGTACTTGTTTCGGTAGCACGAAATTACATGTGATGAGGTGAGAGCGCGCGGGAGAAAATTTGCCGTTTCAGCGTGCGTATATACCCCCCTAGAAAATGTTGTAGTGGAAATATAGGTAAAAATAGGTAAAATAGAAGGGAAAGTAAAGGGAAATAGAAGGAATTTTTGCGGTTTTATGGTAGTTATACATACCACAACTGATACCTAAAATGAAGAGCAAAGTACGCCGATAACAGTGTCAGCATTCAACAAATCATAGCCCGAGCCCTTCAGTAGGAGGAAGGCCGCTCCAGGTAAGGTAGCGTATGCCAGGATTGGGGTTAGCTACGTGGCGGTGGGCGCGCCTTTTGCCGCAATATGAATTTAATGCTTGCTTGAGTACCTGTCGTCCTTATGTAGTAGGCAAATTTTCCCTTCTTCTACATCCAATTTACGTAAAATCCTTCTTCAAATTTCAGATTCTGCTAAAACGAGGAACGGATGCGACCTACAGCCACTTCTACTTACCATTTTACGTCCAGACAGCTGATGCACACTACGTTTGCGATCGGCTTCATTGACCGTCTTGAAAAGGCACGTAGTGAAGATGATTAACAGCACACATGGCAATATATGCACTAGTAGAGCACGAAGGCACAATATCAGCGCTTTCCAAGAGTCGACACCAATCACCTGAAAGCTTGGTACTCAATGCAGCTTAAGCCATGTAAAAACCACATTTGATGCGAATATTAAGTCGCGCTCAATTGCCAGGGTAATCTGCGATAGTACCGCCGCAGATTGCGATCAATTTGCGGGACACGAGGAGACTTCTCCCTCTATGCCTAAGACTAGCAGACTGTCTTCACACCAATCACAGTAGCACCTTTTATGGGTAGTGTTGAACCTGGTGATAGGCTGTACACCTTAGCATTAATAGTTTCAGAATTTTACAGCTCTTCTTCAAAATCTCCAGCTCTTTATAAAGCTGACTTAAAGGCAGTGACCACGATGGCTGGAGGGCAACGGGGTTCCGATAACGTCACTGTATGCTATTGGTGGACAGGACCGTAACACCCTCCAGCCATCGTGTTACTGCTTTGGTGGCTCTTATGCTCCCATAAGATCTACAGGTCACTAACCGAATCGATAATATCCACATCCTTGTGAAAGCAGCTTCTTGTCGTGTTCGACGTCATTACGCTCACACTATATTCGGTACACATAACAGGGAGCTCACTGAAAACATCCTTCACTGATACTCGTGACACATGAGGTTTTCGGCATAAACCACTCACCTGAGAGAAGCGCATATGCAAATATAAATTATAATATGCCTCGTTTTCCGTGGGGTACAGAACCTAAGAATGTAAAAATTGACGAAACTCAATAAAATACCGAACATATATATTCAGAAAATAGTTAACTAATAAATACTCGGAAAAGTCTAAGTACATACAAGTGGTACACCGACACAAAATTCACATACCTTACAACTAACGAAGGTAAACATACGTAAATATATCGCTGAATAGCCAAGTATACTGTCAACCATATCGCAGCTGTATGAAATCTGGAAAGTTCCCGGATTTTGGAAGGTTTCATTCGAGTGTCTCTTCGCAGTGAAATTCAAAAGTGGCTGCACGAAGAAAGTACATACAGTACAAAGAGCGTGTTTACATAAAAATTAAATAACATATTGTGGCACGGGCAAAGGTGGTTCAGTGACAAGCGGCGCAGATACGGCTCTCATGGTCCGGTAGTCAGGTCTCAGGTCAAATACAGCTCATCCCAGGCCACTCGAGTTAATCCTATTTGGGAAGAAAACCTAAAAGCAAGCAATCCTCGAAAAGGGTGAAAACTGCTCGAGGATTTGTCGACGACTCGTCGAGGATTTTCGCCTGTTCTCACGCTCTCCGCGCGGATATTCACTCTCGCCACCGCGAGCCGTCTGTGCTCTCCGCGCGTACATTCACTCTCGGACACTACTCTCGCACAGCACAGAGCCATGGTCGAGGATTTCCTCGACTGTGCACATTACTCATGAATTTTGCTCGCAGCACCAGTTTGATAACACGGATCACAAATAGCTCAAGTGCTGCGGCAACCCTTTGCACAGGAACTCGGGAGACGGAGTCCCCCGCGACCGCCGCGCCAAAGCTAGGTCACCGCGCGCGACGTCGCCGGTGTTTCTGCAATTTGCCGAGTTCAGGACCCCTCTCCAGACGATCGATACAACGCTTTCCTGTTCCCTCTGTGTAGGCCCCATTCCTGCATTTGTTTCAGCTTAGTCCTAGCAACTTGATGCGTTTCAAGCTGGATATAGTAGATAGCCGCCGC